GTTGAAAGCAAAGAAATAGTTTTTTTCTTTCCTTCTTCTAGAGGCTGGAAGTCTGAAATGAGCGCGTCGCGGGAGCACACCCCTTCCGTGCGCTGTAGAGGAGGCTCCTGCCTGCAGCCCGCGCCTGGTCACCGCACGGCCTCCTTTCCGCTGCCTCTGCCTCTGTGTCCAGCTCTCACTCTCCTCATAAGAACACAAGTCATTAAGTTTAGGGCCCACCCAATCCATTAGGATCGTGTCAACTTGATTACACCTGCAGAGACCATATTTCCAAATAGCGCCCTATTCCCGGGTACCGGCGTGAGGACTTTGACCTATCTTTTGCAGGGGGACACAATCCAGTCCAGCACGGGAGGCGGTCCCCTTGCTCCTACGCGGGTGGTCACAGCCTGTGCACGTTTCGCAAACACACGGAGCTGATGAGAAAACATCCCCTCCAATCTGAGTAAGGAAGATGTGATTTCAAAGCAGAGGATGTGTACTTTATAAAAAACATCTTGAAGTTTGGAGAGACTGCTGCGATTTAGGAAACCTCCTTCCTTCAAAGATTTCCAGATGCGTGTCACCTAGGTCACTGCGGCAGGCTGAACAGTGCTCCCTCGAAGCTGTTCACGTCCTGATCCCTGGGGCCTATGAGTGTAAGCTTACACGGTAAAGGGGGAGTTTGCAGATGTGACTAAGTTGAGGATTTTGAAGTGAGATGATACTGGATTATATGAGTGGGTCCAGTGTCATCGTAAGGGTCCTTATAAGAGAGAGGCAGGTGGGTCAAGGTCAGAGAGGGAGATGCGACCATCGGAGCAAGGTCAGAAACAGAGGGACTTGGGGAAAGGGTATATATAGCTCAGTGGTAGAGCTGGTGCCTACCATGCATGAGGTCCTGGGTTCAATCCCTAGTCCCTCCACTAAAAATAATAAATAAATACCTAATTGCCTCCCCATAACAACTGTTTGTTTTTAATTGGAAAAAAAGGAAAGAAACGGAGGGGTCTGAAGATATTCCACTCTGGCTTGGGGGATGGAGGAAGAGGCAAGAGGCCAGGAAAGGCAAGCAGCCTTTACAAGCTGGAAAAGGCATGGAAATGGCCCCCAGGAGCAAACAGTCCTGCCGACACCTTACTATTCGCCCTGTGAGATGGGTTTTCCACTTCCGGCAAATACATTTCTCTTGTTTTAAGCCATGGAGTTGGTGGCACTTTGTCACAGCAGCAGTGAGAAACATACAGTCATGCAGCCCGGTTCAGTGTCTTGTATTAATTCAGCAAACTATCCATCCATCTCTTGTCTCGGCTGGCTGGCATCTGGAGGAGCACGCTGCAGGTGGAGGACACGCAAGAACTGCCTGCTGGGTGAGAACACTGAGAGCTGATTGTGTACGTTGTTGATTGTATCCGCCCTTTGGATTCATCACTGCCTTCGCACCTGTAGTACAGAGGAGAAGTGAATGCTGAACAGATACTTGTACAAAGTGTACGTAGATGATGTGATGAGGCCATGACAGTGCACTCTGGGGAATGCTGGCAGAGAGAGCAACAGGGACCTGAATCAGATCCTGGGGTCGGGCAAAGCCCCCTGGGTGCACAGTCGAAATGAGGACTGGACACATCTTCTCTCGGTTCCAGCTCCAATGACAGAAACTCTTTCTGCACCAGGAGGCGACCTGATTGGAGCTCTCCTGGTGTTCACCGTTGTCTTAACGGTGGGAGGCTGCCATTTGTTCCTGGAGGAAACGTGACGAGGGCTAAGCCTGGCTCTGAGCTTGAAGGGGTGATGACGACGTTTGCAGTCGTTCTGCCATTAATGCAGAGCGCCCTCCCATCCATCTCCTGGCTCCCTGCACGCCGTTCGCGGTCCGCCTGATGAATGGTGGTCGCATCAACACTCTGCAGGGATGGGAGAAGGGACCACTGCCCCATATCCACTGCCGTCACAAGGCACGGGTGAGCCTTGTCCTGGCTGTTGGGGCCGCAGGCACTTTCTGAAGTGGAGCTGGAGCCCAGGGCTACATTCGTGCTCATTGGGCATCTCGGCGCAGGGAAAGGGACAGAGCTGGGGACATGACACTGAACACGGCAGAATCCCTGCACCCAGGTGTTGGTGACGGGTGGGAGAGGTGAATGCAAACGCTCAGAATACAAACCCTAGAGTATTATCATGGAAGCAAGAAGTGAGATTCAGCAAACTCTGAGGAGCGCAGGAGAGCACCGAGGGGCCTGGAAGGAGCTCGGAGTCTGGTAAATGAAGAGGAGAAGACACTGGGGGTGGGGCAGCGAGAGCGAAGCCTCCCCACACTTCAGGGCTCTGGACCATTGGGGACATGGCTTCCTGCCTCCTCCCTTTTCTCCTCACACCAGCAAGGACAGCAGGGACCATTTCTTGAGTGTTTCCTGTGTGGCCGACTGGCTAGAAGATGGATACACGCCACCTCTTCCTCCATCCTCACAACAGCACCCCCCATTACATAACTATGACGTCCTCACCCCCGGCCTTGCAGGTGAGCCTCAGAGGTGTGATAACTACCCCTCCAACCTCAACAGCTGCTCAGATCTGGGCGCCACCCACTTACAATCACACCCGGGCTCTCGGGAAGATGCCGATGGTAGATCTGTGGAAGAGAGAGTGATGGGGGTTCCTCTTCCCGCCCTCCCCGCAACACATCCGCACCTGAGGTTTTCCGCCTCATGGCCCCCAGAGCAGGCCCTGAGTGCAAGTTGGTGCCTGGGAGGGCCCACCGTTTTGGGGGCCACCCGGGAAAGCCGAGGTTAAGCCAGCGCCTGCTGAGCACAGGGATCTCTCCCCTTGCAGTGCTGCGGGGCCAGACACGTGCTCTCTGGATGTGCTCACGGGGTCCTCCTCTGGGAGCCAAGTCACTTGAGCTCGGCAGCAGGAAGGAAGGCCTGGGTGCCAGAAGCTTCTGCAGGCTGCCACTTGCCACCTGCCAGCCAGAAACCCCTAGCTCCCCTGCGCCTACCCCCGCCAGCCCTGCCTTATCAAGTGGAATCTTGTCGAGCACCTGGCATCTCCGCCACTGTGGGGGAAGCACCCTCGTCAGACAAAAGCTCTCTAGAGCTCTGGCTCCAGGGAAGTTGGCCCCTGGCTACGGCCTCCTGACAGCACTTCTTGCTCAAGTATTTACAGGGGAGCCAAGCGCCCTCCCACTGAAGGTCCCTCTTCCACACCCTCCCGGTGAGTCACTCCCCTGGGCACCCATGGGAGGGAAGCCCTTGGCCCCCGGGGACATGGCGGCTGAGAAGTGCAGGGGTGGAAGCCTGTTTTGGAGCAGTGCCAAGGAATGTGGGGTGGGCACCCCCCCACCAGCCTTACTTCACCATCCTGAACCACCTTCCTCGGCCACCAGGCAGGAAGCTCCCCCAAGGAGGCCCAAGGGAAGGATGTTGTGTCCAGGAAAGGCCAGGAGGCACCAGGCACCTCCCATTCACCCGGGGAGGCGAGCCCCTCCAGGAGCTCCCCTCGTCTTTGTTTAAGCTCCCTTCAGTTGCTGGGTTGGTCCGGAGAGGCCCACGTGGCGTCAGTCCTCATGGTCTGCATCCCGCCGTGGACCAGCTTACTTCGCTGCCAGGCGGTGGCCAGTGGGACAAGGCCCTGACTTGGAGACGCTCAGCCCTTGGTGCTCGAGTGGTCACGGGGCTCCACCCTCGCTTGGATCCCTCCCACAACAGTAGTAAACACCGATCTGGAAGTCTACTGGGTCAAGAGGGTGCTGAGATCTACTGGGCTGGCGTTTCATTTTTTTTTGCATTTTTTAAATTGAGTTATAGTCAGTTTACAAGGTTGTGTCAATTTCTGGTGTACAGCGTAGTGTTTCAGTCATACATACACATACATATATTCTTTTTCATCATAGGTTACTCAAAGGTATTGAATATAGTTCCCTGTGCTGTACAGTAGGACCTTGTTATTTATCTATTTTATATAGAGTAGTTTGTATCTGCAAATCAACTTCCTATTTATCCCTTCCCACCCCCTCTCCCCACCACTTTGGCAACCATGAATTTGTTTTCTATGTCTGTGAGTCTGTCCCAGTTTTGTAAATAAGTTCATTTGTGCCATTTTTTTAGATTCCACATATAAGTGACATCATATGGTAGTTTTCTTTCTCCGTCTGACTTACTCAGAGATCCAGCCACCCTGGGAAAATGCAGCTGCCGGTCCCTAAGGTCGGGTGACTGGGGAAGCCGTACGTGGGAGAGAGAGTCAGGAGTTCTCTTTTGGAAACGCGACGGTGGAGATGTCAGTCGGATGTTCGGGATGGTTGGATCTCTGAGTCCGGAGCTGAGGGGAGAGATCTGGGCTGGGGATAGGACTTTGGTACCATCAGTGTAAGAAAGTATTCACAATCATGACTCTGGGTGAGATCGTTGGCGCTGGAGGGAAACCAGACAGGTGTGCTGTGGCCAGGAGGGGGAGGGGGAGGGGGAGGAGGGGGCAGGAGCTGTGTCAGGAGGAGAGACTAGTCAGCTGGGTCAGATGATGCCAGGAGGTCACATAAGATGAGGACTGAGAGTCAGCCCAGCTCCAAGCAGCCCCAGCATACTGTGTGCTGCTTGGTCCCTCAGTATTTGACCGATGTCAGAGGCTGAAAACTGAAACAAACAAACAGATCACAAGCTCCAGTCACAGTCTGGTTACTTAACACTCGGTTCCTCTAAACTGCTGGCGCACCCCAGGCCCTGCAGGGCTCCCTTCGGGTTCTCGAGGTGACGTGCTTCCTGCCCCGTGGCAGGTGCCTGCCTGGACGTGGCGTGGAAAAGGAGTTCTCCCGGGGCTGTTACGTTGTAATTGCCCTAGAGGACCTTTAGGGAAGACTTTCGCAAACCTGGCCTCTTTCTAAGCGAATTGTCACCCTCTGATTTCTTTCTTTTGCCAGTTAGGGTTTACAGATAACGAATGGAGTTCACCTGCCCTGGGATTTGACCTGTACTGGAAAATCACCATTCGGCACAGCGCACGGCCCTGCAGGAGGAATCTCCGAAGCACAGTGGTTGGGACGAGAGGCGGGTTGAGCAGAAGTGAACCTCGCAGGGGAGGAAAGCTGTCAGCCTTGGCCGTGGCCTGGCTGCGTGGTCTGAGGTAACTCAGAGTGCTCCCGCGAGCCTGTCTCCTCTATTAAACAGTGAGCTCCAGGGACCAGGTGTGCGTCCTGGTCCTCTGCCTCGATGCCTGGCTCCTGGGAGTTCCTCACTAAACATCTGTTGAACAAAGGAGGAGACACATCAGTGTCCCTCTTGCCTGCTGTGACCTTAATGCCATCCTTGTTGTGTGGCCAGGCCGTGGCCTGGCCCCAGTGAGGTTTCCAGCCTCATTACTGGTGAAAAGTACTTTTAGATGCCTGATTATTTCCTTGTTTGCTGCTCCATCCCTAATCAGTCCGGCCCTCTGATCTCCCCGCTGGGCCTCGGCACCATGTTACCTCTCCTTGCCCTAAATCCATACTCTCAGGGCAGCCGCAGCCCTCCTGTCTGGAGTGCGGCCGCTCCGGTGCAGCTCCTGGCGCAGCCTGCCCACTCCTAGGTACACGTGGGTTCCGTCTGAGGAGGGCAAGAGGGGGCACGACGTGAGGATGAGAGTAAGTTTGGATCCTGGGGTTCGAACAGATTTGAACCTCTGTGTGCACCACATCTCCCGCCACCACAGACAGCTGAAGGGTGACTGGTTTAAAAACTAAACTTTTCATTTTGAGGTGCTTACACATTCACACACAGTGGTAAGAAACAACACAGAGAGATCTGTGTCTCTTTTACTCACGTTCCCCTATTGGTAACGTCTACAGAACTATTGTACAATGTCACACCGGGATACTGACACTGAGACGGTCAAGACATCGAACCTTCCACCCGCAGAGGTCTCTCACGCTGGTCTTTTACGGCCACACTTACTTCCTTTTACTCACCCCTCACCCCCGCCATCCCGCATCCTGAACTCCTGACAACAGCTAACCTGCCCTCCATGTCTGCGATTTTGTCATGTCAAGAATTTAAGGAAAAAGGAATCTTACAGCATGTAACCTTGACTCTTTCACTCGGCATAATTATCTGCAGATTCGACCGAGTTGCTCTCTGTGTCAAGAGTCTGTGCCTTTTTTATGGCTGAGTGGGATGCCACGAGACGGAGGGACAATGTCACTTGCTGAAGGACGTCTGGGTTGCTTCCAGGTTGGGAGCGTCACAAAGAAAGCTGCTCACAGACCTTCATGGACAGGTTTCTGTGTGAACAGAAGTTTTCATTTCTCTGGGATGAATGCCCTTTCCTCATCCAGCTGAGCAGTTGGGCTCTTTTTCATGCTATCAGTTAGCGTGTTCAGGGAAGGCAAGCTAGTATTACTATTAGCTAAGGAAAAATAAAATTGAGAGGCGGGCAATCTGTTGTCCCTAAATGGTATCGTCTATTCCAAACTAAACAGGAGTGATGTTCGTATCAGTTTCTGTTCGTGGAGACCCCCATCCCTTCTCCCCCTCTTCAGGATGAACAGACATTGCCTATGTGACCAGCACATACACATCACACTTATTAAGCTGTCTCTCCAACAGGTTAGCTAACCTCTTGGGAACGTAGGGTGATGCCTCAGAGATCATAGACCCCCTGACATCTGACTCATTGGACCCTTCTGTATTTCTATGTGTTTACTCTCACACAGACTAATAATGGAACAGAGCTCTCATCTGCAAAATTAAAGATCCTGGAACAGTATCCATGGGTCATGCTTTGCGTTGTCTTTCTACAGGGTTCATGGATTTGCATGGCTCTGTCCTGCTGGTGACCAGTGGTTCATCTTGGAGGCAGATGGCCAGGGTTAAGGGTGGAATCTGAGGCCATGAGGCGGAGTGAAATTAACTGCTTCCGTCACATGGGGACTGAACCGCTGACCTTCACCTCATTAGCACAGCACTCCAGCCCAGCAATTCCCAGCCTCAATTTTATGTCACCCTGGGGTGTTTCCACTTATCTCAAAAGGGAGCTGTGCAATTTCCCCAAGAGGATTCATTTTAATTCACTTTAATTTAAGCATTAAATATGGGCTATGCAGGCAGTCCTTTGCAGGAACACAGGAGAATGGATGATGTTAAAAAAAATTAAGCCGCTAAATGATACACTAAATGGTTACTATTCACTGAAGATGCGCTGGTACCCAAATACCCCTTAACACTCTCTCCAACCCACGGAGCCAGTCTGGGGAGGAAGGAGCCCGGGTGTTAGCAGCACACAGGGAAGGCTTTTAGATTATGGAGGAAAGCAGCCCAGCCCCTCCAGACACCTGCGTTTCGTAGGCACAGTTTCCCGGGGGCAGCCGGGTGCACTCTGCCTCGGCCAGGGCCCGGGGGCACAGCTCAGCTCTGGTCCAGCCAGGCCCCTCTTTTCTTCCCAGGGACTGTGACGCTTTGCAGAGTCTTAGGAATTTGCTGCAGGAACAATTCGTGATTTATTAAGATAATAAATTGGGGCTTTGTTGTCAGGGCTTTTTCCTGGGTCAGTACACAAGATTTATCACTGCGATGCCCGCCTGGGGAGCACGTGGGCTCAGAGGGTCCCCGTGGCCTCTGGCCGCTGGCTTGTTCTGGAGGTGAGCGAGGTCTTAGCAGGCCCGTGCAGGGCAGGCCGGCAGCTTACGCGTCGGGCAGGGGGAGGAACGGTGGGAATCAGCTCTTTAATGAACATCTTCAGAATCCTTCATGGTACTTTCCTGATCATGGCCACATGCATTTATTAAAGGCTAATAATTACAGCTCCTTCCACTGGCAGTACACTTTCTCCTTATCAAAGGGCTCTCGCGTACAGCACCTTCCTTGTTTGTTCTTTACACACCTGTCAAGAATTACTAGCTTCGTTTTATTGATGGGCAAACAGATTCAGAACAATTAAGTGGCTTGCCCAAGGTCACACAGCGAGTAAATCTTGGAGGCACCAGCAGCTCCCACGTCTGTCCACATCCTGTGTCCCTTTCACGATGTTACTCTTATCTCAGTTTATTATCAACATCCATTTGCTTCTGGCAGGAAAGAGCCTAGTATCTCCATTTTGCAGAGGAACAAACTGACACAAAGATGTAATTAAACTTTTTGGCTCCCGCCTCTCTGTTTCTGGTGGTATTCTGTCCCTTTCTTGTTGAAGGGCAAAGAATTCCTCTGCAGACTAATTTCTGCTCTCAGAGTCCAGAATCTCCACTGTCACTGTCACTGCCATGATGGTCATTTGGCTCCGGTTTGGTCTCTGCGTCCAACAGAGGCTCACATTGGCTACTTCCTGCTCCTTCCTTGAGAGGAGGAAGCAACTGAATAGTTCCTTCACGTCTACTTAGAACTGCTCTTCCAACTCCAGGAGCTCAAGCAGCTGCTGGCAAAACACTCTCCTTCCCAGTCCCTCAAGGATGGGCATTTACTTGGTTCTAGATCTTTCTTACAGTCACACTCCGTGAAATTCTTCTAATACAGTGAGGTTGGCACACACTTTCCCAACTGGGCCCTAGACACACCACTTCCCCTCAGATAACTAACTTCTCCAAGGCTCACTCTAGATGCATGGCCACCCTGTGCGTTTGACCTTGGGAGAGTGTCTGACCTCTTCTGAACACCTCGACAGCCATGATCTAGACTTTCATCGGAATATACGGTATAGCAGAAAACTGTCATTTTCAAGCTGTCAGTATCTCCATCCTCTTCCTAGGTTGCAGGGACTCACTGTGGGACACAGAGCAGCCTGAGCAAAAAGCAGGCGGTCAAGGCTGAGAGATGACCCCACTGGGACATGAGCTCTGCGTGTTATCTTTTGCATTCGTGCCTGAATCGCGAGGTCTAGAACAGTGCCAGCCTCCAACTAGGTTGTCTATGCAGTGAATAAACCAACGATGCAAAGATGATGAGATTAGAATTGAGAGTGGCCAGCAGTGGCGGAGACGGCCACCCGTGCCCGCTGAGGGCGTAAAGTCATCGCAGAAAGTCATTTCTGCTTCCAGGTTTCCTTGTCTTAAACCCATGTACTACGCCTGGTCCTTTAACCTTCTCAGTAATTCCATTTCTGCTTACACTATCCAGACTTGGTTTCTAAGGCATGCAACCAGGAGACCTGACTGATGTCCACTGGGTAGAGCTGACTAACCATGCATGTGTATTTCATCTGCCTAACAGAGACCGTGAACGTCTGAAGGCCGCGGGAGGTGCCACATCCCACTGCTATACAGAATGGGGCTTTGCAAATAATGGATGCTCAGGGCATGTTCGCAGATGGTGATGAGGATGATTTACTGTCCATTTCAAGGCCAAGCAACCAAGAGGTTGGGTGTTGGAGGACTGTCTTCTCTACACGTGCCTGTGTGCACACTCACACACTCACACATGCATGCATTCTCATTTATGAGACACCATTTGCAAGAGGCCATTTGGGTAATCCAGTGGGCCCACTGAAACCGGAAGAAATCCAAGGCCATGGGCCAGCTCCACCACGGAAGCCCCATGCTCAGCCAGACGTTCCCGCTGGCGCATCAAACCTGAAAGCTGTCACCAAATTCTGCTCCCTGGCAGCCCCAATGCAACAATGTGCCGAGAGACAAAAGAGATAGAATTCCCAGCAGGGATGGACGGCGTGTCTTCTCGGGCAGCCAGCAGATCGCACAGAGGGTCCTCACAGACCCTGGCGGGAGCGCTCTCTTGGCAGGACCCCAGCTCCAAATTAGGCACCACTTCAGAGACTCTCAGCCTCAAACCTTATGGGTTTTTTTTTTTTAAAAAGATCTAACATTTGTTCTTAGTTATTCTTAATAAAACTCTTTCGCAGTGTCGCACTATTTATTCACTCACTCACTTGTTCCTTCATTTATTCCTTCATTTAATTAAACCTTTCTCATCTGTGTGCTGGGCCTTTTCTCTGGCCCCACTGGATGATAAGAACTCCGGAAAGCAGGTAAACCACTCTCACCAGTGCATCTGAACGATGGAGAAACCCCATTAGACACAGCCATCTCCCACGGCCCATTGATACCAGAACTTAGCTAAGACTCAGATATTCTAACTCCGAATTCTGAGCAGTAGCTCCTGGACAAATGACTATTGAGAAATACTGACCAGGAGAAGGACTTTTACCTGGCATATAATGTTATTTTAGAGCAAGATTAGTGTTTGTAACTCTCAAAATACTATTTTGAAAGTTCATAGCAATTTTGCAGGCTGCCTTTGAGTTACTTCATGGTGTTATCAATCATCCCAAAATTCTCCAAAAAAATCCATTTTAGTTTGAATTAGATAGTCTGTTGTTTGGCTAGATCTCCCCCAGGTAGGGGCGTGAAGCTGTGGCAGGGGACGCAACCTCAGCATCACAGGAACTTAGGCACGGTGCACAGCTACACACTTCCGGGCTCTGGACCTGAACAAAAAGAAAGGCTTGACAACCTGGGGCAGACAGAGCTTAGAGCTGCCGTTAGAAGAGCTTATGCCACAGAAAGAGAGAAACCTGGGTAAAAGAGGAGGGAATCCCACGTGGGAAGAGTTACCGGACAAAGTTCTTAGGAATTTTAAAGGAATCACCCAGTTGGAAGATGGTCTTCCCAATTTGAATGATTATCAGCATCCCTTGGGGTTATTGTTACAACTGCAGCGTCCTGGGCTGTCCCTCCTTGAAGATCTGATTCAGTGGGTCTGGGTTGAGCCCAAGGAATTGGCACTTGGAGCAGAATCCCCAGTGATTTTTTCATAATCAGGGAAAATTTAGGTAAACTCTGGGTTGGGAGGGGCTGTCTCTCTAAGTGAAGAAGCAACTTGACAAAGCTAGGTCTCAGAGGAGGGGTGTCCGCACCCCAAAAAGGAAAGAACCAAGAGAATGTGAACTTTCAAGAAAATGTGAATTGGTGAAACACAGTTGCCGTCCGTATTCTGGGATTTCTCACGCCATCCAGAAAACAGCTGAGTCTGCAGATCCCTGTTGGTACCCAGGGTGAGTGGACTCTGTGTGCTCCTTTGGACGCCATCACCGTACACATGATGTTATCAGGGTGCTTCAGTGAGCCAGTCCCTGTGTACCCCCATAACCCAAAGTCAAGGTTGGGTCTTTCTTGAATTATCCTTTCTCCCTTCTTGGGGACCGACAGTCTGCAAGATCTGCTGCCTGCACTCCCTTCCTCTTTCCTTAAAGTCCCAGCTCCATGGGTTTCCTCCAGATCCAGTGACTACATTTCCCTGTCTTGGGGCTCCCTGGAGGCCCGGCTCTGGGCTTCCTGTGGGGAAGCCAGAAGTCTGAGCTGGTCTGGGAGGACAGAAGCTTAAACTCCACCCCCATCTTGACCCCGCCCCCAAGGGTCTCTAAACAGTTCGGGGTGGTAGACCTGGAAGCTTCAGAAAATCCCAGACTTGCTGCTGACTCATGTGCCCAGGAAGGGAGCTGGCTGCTGGCTGCGAGCAGCCAAGCCCAGATAATCCCAGAAGCAAACAGTGAAGTGACTGAAATCCCGCAGGGCGATAACAAAGCAGCTACCGTTCACCCAGCCCGTCCTCCGCTGCCTTTTCGCCTGCATCCTTTCCCTTGTATCTCAGAGCAGTCCTTTGAGTGCTTGCTCTTACACCCATTTCATAGAGGAGGACAGAAACTCGACAGAGTTAAGTAACTTGCCACTGTCACACAGCCAGGGAATAAACTTTGTAAGACTGAAGCATAATGTCCATAAAGAAACTATAATGTGCTACTCAGTGGATAATCACAAATGG